GTGGCTCAGTGCAATCAATTATTGCTGCAGTGGAATCATTAATAATTTCCTAATGAAAACGATTCTGTTGATCTCTGTTGTCTTTTAATTAAACATAATTAGTCGGCTGCTCGGAGCTGTGGTGGGGACTCCTTTAGGGTACAATTTTGTTTTAATACACTGATAATGGAATTTTTACATTGTGTCAGTTGTTTAGTTATTATTCAGTCACACTATTTCGCTATGTTCCTAGATAACAGATAATAACCCTCGCACCTTCTGTTCGCTGCAGTCATTTTGAAATAGGAGGGTCGAAATGAACAATTAAATTTTGAACTGTAAGAGTCCTCTCCTCTCACTGTTTCATGGCGCACGCTGCCAGGGTGCAGTGCGCGAAACGCTGCAAGTTTGATGCCTTCATTTCACAGGGGGGAAAAACTCAAAATGTCTTTGCATTTTTCTTTTCTTTTTTTTTTTTTTTAGAGAGAGTCTGATAGATACTACATCTGTCCTGTCAGATCACGCAAGTTCACCATATTGCCTCAGCGGTCTGCTGCTCTGGATCAGTGGAAAGAGCAAATGAAGGCATAAAAAAGGATCTGATTGTGAGGACTTAGAGAATCTGAAATGACACAAAGACGCAGAGATTTAGCTAATTCCGCACCGTCCGAGCTTATGTAAAACGGCCTAGTTACACTGGTCAATTTCTACACGAACAATGTGGCCAAGTTGCTCTGGAGACTTATTGGACATGCTGTATCTGAATGTGGTCTGGCTTAAGAGGCTTACATTCCAAAAGTTTCAGTGACCTCTGAATAATGCCACGTAATGTGGTCACGTTAACTGTGTATAGTTTCACCTGGCTTACCGTAGATATCAGGTATAAGCGCAATTGAGGTTCAAAGCAAGGATGAACCGAATCATCGTGCGTGGCACCTCACTCCTAAAAAATGTTGTGTTTTTATTCAAATTGATTTATTGTTATTTGTAAGTTCAGATGTGACTGTGTCTGATTGAACTTGGATGCCCTGCAGCAGAGGAAAGGCCTCACATAATGGGAACATAGTATGATTAAAATATGCCTGAATTATTTACCATATGCATGGGCACTGAAGTACACCTATCTGCTGCTGTAAGGGTTAAATGTGATCAAAAAGTCCCCCTACAAGAGGAGCATCTATTCCTGTTTGGGTAACATTTGTGGAAAAACTACACTTTAAAAATAAAAATAAAAAATTGAATGTATTCATGACTTCCTTAACCTCAGGGCAGAGAGGTCAAAAAGTTCCGAGAGGTGACTAAAGTGAGGAAATACAGCACAACACCTTATCATTAAGAAAGCTGTTTCACAGCATAAGCACATTGGTGGTCACGCTGGCTCTCTGAGCAGCTGCTGAAATCCACAATCAGGCGGGTTTGCGACATCTGAACCCCATCGCTAACACGTTCAGCCGAGAGACGTTGGACGATGAAAAGAAATCACAATGTGTCTGAATTTGTTTTCTCTGTTAAATCTCTCCCACTTTCCAGCTGCATTGTTTATCAATCTGTTGTTTATCTGTACAGAAAATTCTCCCCTGTCTCCCCTCCCTCCCTCCTGTCTGTCATTCGCTCCGTCTCCTCATTCTCCGGCGTTACTGTAACATATAATTACTCTGCAGACTTGCTGCCTGTTTCTAGAACTTCGGCGGTTCAAAGAAACTGTCGGAGTGTGGAGGAGAGCATTGTGGGAGTTCCAGGTGGATTTCTCGATAATGAGTTAGCACAGTAGTAGGAATTGAGAGTTTTAGTAATGGCTGGCTGCTAAGGCTCTTCCTGGGAGTTTAATGTAAAACAAACAGGGCCATGCTGACAGCCTGGGAAAAACAGATATTGCACTTTTTCCCGCTTCCACTTCAGGGCTCGTGCTGTTCTCTCATTTTGAGGAAGGGGAATTCGAAGAAGAATTTATATTCATGAAACGAATGCGAATCTTAATTGGAGACATTTTAAATGACTCAAATATTACTCATGGTCTTCCACTTGTTTTTTTCCCCGCATTTTTTAAATATTCATGCTTTTCTGCTCGTCTCGATTAAGTGATACAGACGTGCAAACAGAGGGCAGGGAAAACATCATTTTGCTATAGCAACAGGAATTGCAGCATCTCAAAAACTGGGTCGAATATGTGACATTATAAGGTAAGTGTTTCTTGGTGCTGATGACCAGGGGCGCCCTGTGGGGGGACCTGACTATGCCATCCTGCTGCTTGTTACACACTCCAGTGCATGTATTATACATAACACATTGCAGGGCTACAACTCTCAGAGGAATCATTTTTGCTGAATCCAGTCCTCCCTCGCTCTGCACATATCCCCCACGCCCCCCACACACACTTCCTGACAAGTTTCGGGGATAGAGGATGAGCATTTGTACGAAAAAAATAAAATAAAAAAGCAATGCAGAAATCATAGGACAGAGCGTCCAGCACTAAGCTACAGCCACTCAAACCAATCACCATCCCTTACTTAGAGATACTCCCCCATAGATTCACACTGGCAAGCATCCAAAGTGAACTGCTACTATCTTTGCATGCAGCCATAAAGAAAGCCGAGACCACTGAAACGTGAGCCAAAGCATATTCTGCAAGCATACTGTGTATTGAGATATTCACTGTTTTCCATAAATAACGCATCTCAGGGAGCAACGAAACAGCCAACAGACGGGAAACACAGCACAGGGGTGAAGATATAAACAATCTGGGCCTCAGCTTTTCAAGGTGGGAAGAAAGTTCTTGCCGGACTCCGAGAAGCCTTTTTTTCCCTTTAGTCGGTCCGCGCCAGCGTCAATGCGATAAACACAATTCCAGCACGGCTTCAAAAAAGAAACGACAGGCGAAAAAAAAGAAATGAAAAAAAGACCAAATTCAATATTAAATTTGACAAAGATTTGACATTCCGGCACGCCGGCACTCCATTTCAATGTCACCTCCAGAGGGTGCGCACGCATGCAGATTGGAATATTTGAAGGAAAGCGATGAAGAAGAATGAGCAGCATAAATCGAGTCACAGTCTGGACGTAAGAGTCAAACGGCCGCGCGGCATCAAACGCTTCATCACTTTCTCAACTTCCTCCCAAGTCCAGGTGGAGAAAAAAAAGGTTGCCAGGAGCAAAAATGTGGAACAATTTTTTTTCTTTCTTTGGAAGAGAAAAAGCGAGAGAAACGGACACCCGACCCAATTTATGCAACTCGCTTTTGGTAAAGTTGCTGCAGACCAGTTCGAGTCAAGTGTGGAATAGCGCAGGCTGGATTTTGGTTTGAATCTTTGAAGTGCGCTAAAAGTTTGTTTCAAAGTCCAACACGTTGATCGCGTTCCTCCACAAGAGGTGACGAAATTTGTTTCGAGCCGAGTAATCGACTTACTGATTCTCTGAGGTGACAAGAGATATTTAACTCTGAGAATTGAATTAATTCTTTGTATTCAACATTCCCCCTATTATCACTTATTATCAGTGGCAAGCATGTGCTGATGCTTGTGGAGGATTTAGAGTAATGAACTTATACAAGCAGAGCACAAGAGCGACTCACACAAGGGGTCGTCTGGAGATGTTATTGTGTTTTAATTTAATAAGGTCAAGTTGGAAGCGACAAACAAAGGCGCTCCCAGCTGAGGTGGCGATGATGCTGTGTGTGATGTTATCGCCAGGATACATGTATGAAGAGTGGCAGAGGAAATTCTCAAGAAGAAAAAAAAAGAAGAAGTGAGAAATCCTGTTATTGCCCTTCTTTTTGTTTCATACAGTCACTCTGTGAGCAAAAAGATTAGAAGATTTTAAAGAAGTGCATAATCTTCTTTAACAGCTTATCAAAACTTTAATGATTTGGTGATAAAGAGCACAAAGTTAAGTAGCCGGTTAAGAGGATAACTCCCCAGTGCAGTCTAGTGATTAGTAGATGAGAATTGGGAGACCGAAAATCCGGGTTGCAAATCCCACTCCTGCCACTTATTCACTTTGAGGGAGAAGAAGCTCCATTTCAGCTTTGGGGGTATTGTCACGGGGTAATCATTTTTGAAAAGTGATAAATAGAGGCCCCCCCTACCCACCCCTTCAGAAGCCCAAACACATCTTTATTTACGTATTTATTTCGCCGTGTCTCTTTGGTTAACACCCGTCAAGACCCAATTATAGCTGCAGAAGCCATGCGCTTTCATGAGGAGTGAAGCTCCACACTTTAGTGTCAGTGCTGTGTACAGTGCGAGCATCTTCTCGTGCAATCTGCAACAAACCCAGCTCTCCACAGATCAGTTTGCGGGGCTCCTTTAATGAGGCCCTGCTGGACACAATGCAGGGGATTGAGGAGTTTATCGTCGTGACAGTGGGTCGTGGGTTTTTGGTGGGGGGGGGGTTGCATGCTTTGGATTACTTTTGTATAACTAACATGGATTTTCTGACAGATAGCGGTGCTTTTCCTTTTTCTTTTCCTCAACACATGTTTACAGAAATCCACTTCTCATTGGGAAGTTGTATGAATGCAGCTGATTTATTAAAAGATGTACGACTAAAGCTTCGCCGAATTAGCCGAGAAGAACAAATGAAGCAAAGTGGCAAACACATCTCCACTCGTGCTTTTCCTCGCTATCTACCCCGAGATAGGGATTCACTTAGTATAAAAGAGTGTGGGGAGGAAAGGGGGGGGGGGGGGCATTAATTACCTTGTGAAATCTAAAGACCATTAACTTTGTGTGTCAAGTGATGTTTCTCACTTCCCAATCAGAGTTTTAGAGATATAAACGACTCTTTGGATGAGGAAAACAGATATGGAGCGAGAGCGCGCCTTTCTGTGTGTCCTCGTGGGCTGTGTAGATGCAATTATTTGTGCTTGTTTGTGACTTTGAGAAGAAGAAGAGAAGGAAAGAGAGGAGGAAAAAGTAAAAGAATGACAGAGAGAGAGAGACAGGCAGAGGAGGAGTGGATGGAGGATTGTGGCGTGGTGTGCTGCGCTGCAGAGAGATAACAGGATGCCGGCGCGGCTTGCTTACCTTTGCTGTACACCACACAGTTGTTTTTGTTGTCTTCCGCTCCCTGCCAAGTCACATCCAGCAGCCACCTGGGGCCGGCGCTCAACACCACAGGGACCGTGCTCTTCGTCTTCTGGTCGAGGACAGATAACAAACACTAATCATTTGCTTATTTTGGTGATTAAAGAAACATTAATAACCTCTGAGTTACGCTCTTCCGCTGCACTGAATGACCATAAAGAGGCAATTTCAGAAACTATACAGCGTGCAACTCAAGTCCAGCACAATCCTTTTTTTCTCTTTTTTTCCTACACTGCTGAGAAAATGTGAAATCAGGGCAGTTTTTATGAGTGTATGTGTGTGTGCGAGATGGCCAACAGACAAATGCAGTGCTTGGTGTGATGGCAAATGGGTGCAAGAGCCCGCACTGTATCTGTTTCATCCAGGATTCAACCCGGAGATCCAGAATCAGATCCACTAGATTAAATAAAACATCTCACGTGTCTGGGAATCATAAAAAAATGAAAGGAAGAAAGGGAAAAAAAAGGACGGTGACTTTCAGAGAGAAGGAAGCAAGTGTTCGGCGGTGAACTTTGGGCGCATTGTGCCTCGCTATCACCAGGATCTCACTATTTCCTGAAACAAGCAGGGAAGAATTTAAAGAATCAGTATCCATTTCAAAGGCCGATTGAGGTCAGAGTTTTTATAATATACCGGGAAATTATTCCAAATGTGTAAGGTCATTTTTCTTCTTGGTCAGAGGTCAAACGTGGGGTTTCGTTCCACTGGAAGAATCAGAAATAAATAAATAAAACAGAGTGAGATAGAGAGCTACACCCTCTATAATAGATTCACATGCTGCGCTGTCACCACATTCGCCTGCGCTGTTCATCCTCACATGATTTTCTAGTCTGTTTTATTTTATGCTGGTTCTCCTTTTCTTTTGCTTCTTGTAAAGCGATGCGTTGGTGGTGTCATGCATATGTTACGTGTGTATGGAGGTGGTGGAGGGGCTGTTGCAACATCTCAGGCAGCTGGGTACAGTAGCCTATTACTCAAAGGCAGAATGTCACTATTTTAAGGCCATTTCTTTTGAACCCCGGGGCCTCCCCTTCATTAGGAGCCTACAGAAAACAGTTTAGCTAAGAGAAAATAGGTTGGGCTGCAATCTCGACACTTCATTTCTTCTTCCCCGTCTGAGGCGGCCGGTGACAGGACACTGTCCATCTGCCTAATGCAAAAGCAAAATACCAGCCCTCTCGCGCACTTTTCACTTATTTCTCCCCCGCAAGAGGCAGCAACCTTCAAGGATAAATGCAAATGTCACTTGAGCATGTTAAAGGTCTGAATTGGCACAGATATGCACAAGAGATGAGCACTGTGCTCCGGCAGTGTGTCTGCATGCCCCCTCCTCCTCCTCCTACTCGTCCACCCGCCCATTTCTCTTTCCATGAACTCATCTAGTCAGAGGCTGGAGGACATGGATTTCTATTTATTTATTTTTTATGTTTTTTTTTTAGTGAGAGAGAGCATTATTTACAAATGGCAAATACATCTCAGAGAGAGCTGATAGGAATCTGTTTGGATCTTGTCTGCAAAATGACGAAGGCAAACGCAGACACTCAATAGAGACAGATTTTTGAAATAGTCCCTCTCTCTTTATATATATAGCTTCGCACATTGGCAAACTACACCGGCAAAACTGATCAAACACAGACAGCAAATTGTGTCTGTTGATATTCTTATTCCTTCTCCTGGCATCTCCTTATCCCGTCCTGGCAGCAGATGAGAGAGAGAGACAGAGAGAGAGAGAGAGGACCTCTGTAATTTAAGTCGTCCGCAATTTCACATTTCAAATTAGCCTCACAATAAAGTCTTCTATCTGGCTAACCTGAAAATCTCACACCCCTGTCAAAGGAGCAGAGCAGACCAGGCCGATTGTTGCTAGGACGACTATCTGAAATGGAAATCAGATTAACCCTTTCTCAGATCTCCAGACTGGAGCCATCTCTTATTCAGCAGCGAGAGGCCTCTCTGCCATCCTCCTGCACCTCTGGGAATTCATGATATTCCAGCTGCTCTTAATGTAGCCAGCAGAGACAAAGCGGCCATATTAACGACACATCTTCCCATGTTACGTTAGAAATACCATCACAATTTGTTAAGACTTGTGGCAGTAATCGCAATTGTTCCTCTGGTTCCCGCTGTAATAGAAACTTATGCATTAGCTTTGATTTAATTGTCACTGTCAACTATTCGCTTTGGTTCCCCTTTTTCTTGCAAAGTGAGCAGCAACAAGCCCCTGACAGCCAGTCTCAGTGTAGATTTACATAAAGCATCTATAGTGACAATATGCGCTTTGTAAGCAGCCTGCGTGTAGCAACCCCCGCAAAGACAAAGAAGCGCACAAGAACGACCGCACGCACAACAAATTTAGGATTAAGACACAGTGGCGTCACCGCAGCGAGGAGCGTCTCTGCAAATGCAAATGAAAACATTGGTACAACTGGATCAGTTGGCCTAAGTGGCCGAGGCCAGAAGAGGGAAAAAACACGCAGATTGACAGGCAGAAAATTGCGATTTTCCCTCGAGCTAGGGACTCAGAGATCGACTGGCTGTACGGAAACAAACTCCTCTCAGAGATGCCAGCCATAAAAAAAAGAGAAAAAAGGGAGGGATGTGACGTAGAGAGGCTTTTTCCTGCCCAAAACAGCACACTGAGGGGGAACTGGAAAATATGCTGACCCCTGTTGGCAGTAAAAAAAGAAAGAAAAGTTGCTGATCTTACTTTTTCCCCAATTCCTCTAAAGCATTTTTGTTATTTTCTGATATTTTTCATGCCTGTACTACACCTATTTTTGTAATTAAGACTAAATATTATTAACAGGTAAACGTTCGATGTGTTGTGTTTATACAGATACAATATCAGTTTACTGACTATCATCCCTGTCAGAGCCTGTAACCCCCCCCCCCCCCCCTCCCCGGCCTTCCTCTCTGTGTAGTGTGTTATGGTTTATCCACCGTCTGCTTTCACTCCAGTGGTTTCAATACTCTCTCGGTATTTTTATTTTTTTTCTTCCTTCCTCTGAGCTCTGTTACCGTTCCTCGTGTAAGAGATACAGTGACCAAAACAGTGTAGTCAGCGAGGAAGTGATTACAAACTGATGCTCCAAATTCGCTATAAAATGAAAATCAATATTTCCACAAGTTGCTGCAACATAAAAGATAACCTTCATTGATTTTTCTAGACTTAGGCCCCTGTGATAAAATCTAATATAAATTTTCAGCCACACGGATTTGGATCAGAGCGGAGCAGGGGCTGAACGATAAGTTCCGCGCACATCTCTCAGACTTGGATTTTTTTCCTCCCCTCCTTCCCCTTTTTCCTTCTTCCAAGGCAGGGCTGTACTATTTATAATTGGCCCTGTGTGAGCAAAAGCTTCTATCGGGAATCTGTTCTAATTTTTATTACTGAGAAGCTAAAGCCTGTTCCAGATAATTTGGAAATTTCAGGGGAATTGTGATAGAGCTGATGGCACAGCCGGACTGACTCCAGAAAGGAGCTAACCTGTAATAGCCTCTGTGGCTGCGCTGATTAAATGTTGCCATAGATGAAAGACCTGCCATCACCGCAATAAATTAACCAATCACACAAATCCCAAGTCGCTACTAATCCCTCCTTGATACCATGATCCTCTGATCAGCTGAAGGAGGTGAAGAAGAAAGTGTCTTGTGACACTCAGCCTTCTCCTAACTCCCTGCTTCCCTGTGTAAACAACAAGCTAATGATATCGCCGCTGACCATTTCACCACCACTGGCTACTCTTAACCCGTTTCATGGTCAGGGCAGGTGAAATCAATACAAACCGCGGTGGGAATGATTATTTTCCTCATCGCACTCGCACGCCCACCCCCTCCACCACCACCACCTCCCTCCCTCCACCAAGGTCACCGACTGGCACTGTATCCGTCTTGATCCCACAGCTGCAGGATTTAGACAACTGAGAGATCAAAACCGCTCCGTCTGAATATCTCAAGACATATACCGGCTTTATGCATTCATCTTTCAACGCCCACTCGGTGCCAAAGTAGTGCCATTTCCAAATGAAAACACTAGTGGAAATATTCCAGTCAAATCACTCTGAGTATTTTTGAACCTTGCCCTCTTTTTCACAGTAAAAGCCTTGTTTCAACAATTGTTTTTTATTTCCATCTTTTTTTCCTCCTTTGCTCCTGAATAGCTGATAACGGCATTTTCTCATCCCCACATTACATCTGACCACTGTTGACCTGGCAACGCGTGCCCAAATCATTTTAAAAGTGCCGTGTCCTTTGCGGTACTATATTTGCAGCCTAAATATATAAATATATATATAAAGATACAAGCTTACGTATGGGTTATGTCGAGTTTATATGTTCTCTGTTTCTAACATGGGAGTGAGGATAAAGGATTTGTACCTGTTTTACCAGTCAGTTTACAGCAGACAGCACACTCACACCTTGATAACGTCCATTGCAATTAGTTGTTCACTGCGATGAAACAAATTGCATGTGGTCAACTGGAAATTTCATTAAGGGAGATTTTCCTCTAGCCCTCGTTATCGCTCTGCGTATTAATATTTTCTTAGCCTCAAGGATGGATGGGTTGCAAGGGTCTTTTTTTTTGTTGAATTAAAAAAAACGTCCGGAGCTAACCTCACAGCCTGTGTTCGCCCGCCGCTATCCACGCTGGCAAAAAAAGCTGTGTACATGCTTAGTTAGGTGCTGCATTTTTTTTCATTGCGCCCTGAAATAAGATTCTCTGTCGACATCCACAATAAAGTGGGAAATACCTCCATTTCTCAAGTCTGCTTTTGTGTCATTCTCCCCCTCTTCTAAATGGCTATGGTTACATCTGCTGAAATGAAAAGATACCTACATACAGCTTTCATCCCCCCCACCCCTCCCTCTCAGGCTATAGCATCTTCTATTGGGAGGCTAAATAACAGAAATATGCAGGAATTGCACACTAATTCCCCTTAGAGATAGATCTTGGCTGGTGCCCTGTCATAAATCAGAGAATTTCGATATGAAATGAGGCAAGCTGCTCTAATCATTTCTGCATTTCAAATTGGATCACTGGCTCAATCGCCT